TTGATAATACTCCCTGCATGGCATCATCATCCGTCAGCCTGGCATTTACCTTCGTCACATCAAAACCATATCAATATACACGTATATTTGCAGAGAGGATGGACGAAGACGCACAGGCCAGGCTAGTGTTTGTGGCGTTTTTAGTCAATATTTGGATTACGGCCTTGGCTGCAAACTAGATGTTGCAAAAGCGCGCGTTAACAGTTACCTGTCGGGCAGCCTATTACCGTATTCAAAAACTGCTACATTGTGTGATCATCATGATTATAATACGCCTATTTTTAACATCACGTTTGGTGTCAAGTCAAAGATACCCTTATTAATATGCGGGATATTTCATTGGACGTAATTGCATGCATCGATTGATGATATTTAGGCCTATGTTCAACAACTAGTGCTTGAGCCTGTTTCTCGACTTTTTGTATTCAACGAAGCACTTTACTTCATCCCATTTGATTTATTATTTTTAAGAGTTACAATGATCGGTCTCAACTTCTCATTTTTTTTCTTCAAGCATCTTGAGAAGTCTCTCGATACCGCCTAACCCCCATGAACCTTGGCTAGGAATTTTATCGTAAAAATTAATGCTCTCTATGAACCCAGTACGTGACGCAGCTTACATTCGGAGCCGATTTCGGTCTGTGTCGTTGATCAAGTATCTCTTCCTTCTGTTATGAAAAGACTTACATTGAGTGTATGTTGACATGAGCCGCGGCCGGATTAGCGAAGATTTCATTAAAGGCTTCTTTACCAAATATTTGAGAAAGTATATTCATTGAGTAAATTAGTGATTAATCTCCCAGTCAAACTTTGATTCATGTTGTAACGCGCCGAAGTATATCCCATATTCTCACAAAATAACAACATTGTTTTTTTTATAATATTGACATGCATCTTACAGTAGAATTCATTCATGTTATTGAAGAGCAGTTAATGGGTGGGGCTGATAGATAAATATCGAGAATATTTTTATAATTTAATTTCTTCCATCCTTTCCCAGTTCCAACTGGGACTAAGGGTTTTTTCTTCAGCATTTTAACAATAGCCAAATAAGTTGTATACACTAATGTTCTACTCTCAACAGCATATTCTATATGTAGGTTTTCTAAGGCGTGTCCTCTTTCGCGTCTTTACTCACGTTGCATCATCAACAGTCACCATAACAGAATATTGGAGCAGAGAGTAACAAAAATAACTGCAAAAGACGACTCTTACTCAGAGAGTGTTAAAAAATAATAATTGAGATTTACCTTTGAGATGCAGACGGGAGTGCCGTCCCCGCCCATAAATCTTAACCCGAAAGGTGGGCCTCCGGTCATCCGCACCTTAAGTAGCACCCCTTGTGTCGTCATGATGACGTCTAATCAGTTTATCCTGTTTTCAAGAAAACGGACCAGAGTTTGAGTTCAAGGCTTCAGGATGAGGTTGGCATGTTCAAGACGTGACTGAGCGAGATGGATGGTATCTTGCTAGTTCTTACAAAACCAAAATCGAGTCTCGTAGCTATTTTTCTTTGTATAGAACACTGCTTCTGAGGCGCTTTTTGTTTCAGTATCTCGTTCAGTCCTTCAAAAACTCACCCCCAGGACTCAACTCTCACTTCTTGATCGCAATCCTGGCCCTTCCGCGGCGAGACATCGGGGACCTATAGTTTGGTACTCGCGTAGTGTAGATCCGATGGCATCATCATCATCATCATCATGAGCTGAGCGAAACGGTCGCCATTCGGCAGGAAGGGCCGACCGAGATGCACTCGTTTTAATGGCTCGACCTTTGCGGAATGCCAAACTCGCTGCCTGTGACCTGACGCACCACGCTGCGTAGTCTGTCTTCGTCACTTTCACCGTATGTGTATTGTTACATCCCAACTGCAGCAACTGTCCCAATTCAAGTTCGGGCAGTCCCAACTGGGTCGACACAGTTAGGCATGCCCAACTATCATCTTTCCAACCATAGGAACACGATAACCCCATCTTGTACTTCCAATTCCTGACAAAAATTGTTGATAACCTTGTTTATGCAAACTTTTGCTGTTCATACAAACATGGTCAATTTGTAAACAAAAGAAGGTCCATAAATGGGCACGCATATAGGGGACTGCTCCAAGTATATAGTTGGGACTGCCCAACTATAGTTGGGGCAGTTGCTTTAGTTGGAATGGGACTTGTTCACACACGTATACACCTTGAGAACCGACCCAGGTGTTTTCGGATTACAAATCGGCAAATTAATACTTGGGAAAATATAAAGGATAGTGAGTGCAAACGCGTCAAGACTGATTACGGCACCTTCCCCGCCGAGACTTTTCTTTATTGTAGGTTACAATAATCTACTTTCTGCGAACTCAAGCTGTAATTAAATTTTGCTTTTTCTTCTTCGAGTATTGCTTATCATTCTGTTGTTGAAACAAACTGAGACAAAATGTTTGAAGTTATAGGTTTTTTCCCCCAATAGTACCTACAGCTAATTTGCACCCTACTTAAAATTGTGAGCAATATTTGTTGCTTCAAACAAACACAATTTAACAGGAAGCAAATGGTCATACGTATATTTTTAACCGGGTTGAGGCAAATAGCCTGGCAGATATAATTAATTAATTAATCAACTGATTGATAAACCATCATTTTCCTTTGGAATATGACATTACTGTTACTAGTAGAACTGTGCATAAGTCTATTTTCAGTAATACTAACTGAAATACAATTCCCTGAGCTCTGAATAATGACATGAATAAAATTCTTATAGTTACATGGAGATGCCTGTTGAAAATCAGGCCTTCGAGCTCAATTAATGCAATTCAAGAGATTTTTTCAATCACTCATAAACGAAAATAGTTGAGAGCCTTTTTTCGGTGAAATTATATGTCTGTTTTGCAACATAAAACTGAATAGGCCTATACATTTGTAATTATAAATGGACTTAGATTTACGATTTAATACACCTTTTAATAATTAGTAGAGTAATTTACTATTTTGTTTCCTCCACGTTTTTCTTGCTTTTGGACTAGCTCGTTCAAGATGATCATTTAAAAAAATATATATAATTCAACATATTTCTGATTTTTTTTTTTCACGCACACAACCATATTACTACAAATCTATTAAAGGCAATTCACCCCAAAAAGCAAAGCTAATTAGAACTCCTTTTGCGAGATACAAAACATTAACACTGCTAACTCTCTGTCGGAATCGCGCAGATTTCAAACGGCGCGGGCGCATGCGTAACTCTGTGACACGCCTTGAAGGCTACTGGCTCAGCGCCCTCTGGCGTCCGGAAGGTGTACGCATGATGAAGCAGGTGAATAAGATGAACAGCTCCATACGAGCCAGTTGCTCCCCAAGACGCACAAGGCGACCTGTGACGAGAACAAAATGTGCAAAGGTCTATTAACATTATTCTTAGAGAGTTCTGAGAACCATGGAATTGAATTGAAGACTTGTGGCACTGAACCTCTGGACTCGGAGCTTCCAATTCTGAGCATTTTGGCGCTATGTAGCTTGTTGTGGTGGAATCTTTTTTTTTCTTCAAAATGGCTAGTTTTCCAGTTTAGGAAACATAATTCGTTTTAGGGGTGCTCTTCTTTGGGTGAGAATATCTCAAAAAGTCAACTGTCAACCCACCAAAAATTTATAAGAAAATGAAAGATGACATGTTGATCATCATTTTTTTCTGTGGAGCCTGAACACCTGTGAGAATTCTGAGTATTTTTAATAGAATTTTGAAGTATGGGTAAATAATCACTATATGGGATTTTTCATACTCGGATGAACCTTCAAAGATTTTGCCTGCGAACATCAAAATGTCTGTGTGCTGCTTGGGTCAGTCATAATATAGTATTACATAACTCTTAACAATCGGCCTTAGACTGAAATCACGTTATCGTCAGATACAGGCAGGACTGCTCGTCTTTATATTGCTCTGGATTCACTATTATTTTTATTATTACTATTATTTGTTGGACCAGGGCAAATCTTACAAACAAATATGACAAATAAAAAAAAGCACATAAACATTAAGGAAAACGAAAAAAGAATGAGGGTGGTGTATGCAGGAGGGGAGCTAGGCCGTGAAAGGGGAACAAACAAAGGACAAAACTAACGACACTAAACGGGTCATACGGACAACAGAAGTAAACTGAATTACTGTTGCTCGGAAGCATGCTGCCCCACGTATGATGAACGACGAAAAGAGGATTAAAAGAAACACAAAGGACTTGGACTTGGAGCATAACAAGGCCTATAATTATAAGGCCCCCCAAAAAAGTCTCCGGTTTCTGGTATGCGCGCGCGTCGCCGTAGCCATGCGCGTCGGCAGAATGAAAAAGTTTTTTTTTCAATGAAAGATGATGTCTCAAAATCGCCAAACTCACTGGTTTGACTGGAATCCTGCTGCTGCACAATTTTAACGTGTTTTTAGATTGGGTTATGGTCGAGAATAAGCTTTCTTCCCTGAATGATCTGTCTTCAATTTTGAATTTTTTTAAAAGTTTATAAATCACTTTTTTTTAATATTGTGCTGTTTTGTGCTGTATACATGATCCTATACTTTGTTGTAATTTTATGCTTCTACTCCTTTTAACTGCTATTTAACATTTTTTAATTCCTGTAAAGTGTAAACGTGGTTATATCAGCGACTCTTTTGTGGCTGCCTACCTCGTGTTTTTATATGAATAAACCAGAATAATAATAATGTGGCCTCTCTGGACTCCCATATATTTGCACTAAGTTTAGTCGGGCACCATTTGCAGTCATCAGCCGACATTTGAAGCAAAAAAATCAGGTAAAAAAAAAAAAGCCGCGTCGCCGCACCACGTTTTTTGGGCAAGCTCCATACCAGAAACCGGAGACTTTTTTTTTTAGCCTTATTAGAGACACACTCTTGGAAAAAATGGTCCGGTTAACATTGTTAACTTATTTCTTATGATGGACTGCGGTTTGGCCGAAGTCAATTCAGCGTGATCATCTGACTGATAAGGTTTACGTACCGCACAAAAGGAACTATTGATCGTTGGGAGAGACTTTCTGGGCCTCTCAATAAAGCTCGTAGCGTGGGTGAACAGACTACATACATGTAGTTTCAGTTCGTTGCTCTAACAGAAGAATGTGAAGAAAGCAATTTTAGTTTACTATATCGGATTATGATCGTGATGCCAATCTCTGAACATCTGTATTGGCCAGCTGCCTACATCTGTTGGTGAACAAGGAACTGCCACCTGTGCTAAGAACCATTTTATTTTTGAGCGATGGGAGTTTGTGGCTTATATAACTCCAAACTAAGCCTCCTGATTTGTATCTTCTGCCTCATCGTCTTCTGCGTCCTCACATGGACCAAAATGGAAGGTAAGCCTTGAAAGTATCAGTAAAAGAGAAGGAAAAAATGTTGCAACCTAACGCCACTTTTTTTCTTCATAGATCATCTCAATGAAGGTAATTCATTGCAAAAATGATGATAAGACATGAATCTGGGACTGAGAAATATTTCCAATTTTGTTAGGAAATACTTAAAAAATGTTCTTGACTCTCCATAGACTTTGTACACAATCGCGGAAGTGGCGTCAGGTTGCAACATTTTTTCCAAAGTGAAATGTGTTTTGAAGTTTGTATGATTTGGTTGACGGTGTGTGTTCGATGAAACCAGGATGAAACTTAGTTCAACTACACCATGGACAAGATCCTCTTAAGGGCATGGGTTTGAAGGCCGGGATTGTAATAGCAGGTGCATAAGTCGTCTGTCTAAGCGGGAGGGGACTATATGAACCGGTTTAGGAACCCCCGGATTCTCATCCAACCCAAGGGCGGATCCAGGGGGGGGGGGGCCAAAGGGGGCCATGCCCCCCCCCCCCCCAAAAAAAACGAAACCAATTTTTTTTTTTTTATGTGACGTCGCAATAAGGGCAGGTAATGAGTACACCACCATCTTTTCCTCAAAAAACATTGGTTAAAGTGGTCAGAAATTGCCTAAGATCGCACCACAGAGCATCTAGAATCCAAAATTTGTTCGGGGCCCTTAAGCGGGCCCCGAACCTCACGCCGTAATTTTTTGACCCACTTTTTTGGGGGACCAAATTTTTTTTTTTTGGCCCCCCTCAAAAATTGTGTTCTGGATCCGCCCTTGATCCAACCCAGTGTAAATTGATATAGGCTTCTGAACACTTTGACATCTTTGTAATCTATAACATTTTTATCTTGGGCATAAATCTTAGTGAGTGAGTGAATATATCCCACAACTTTATTGCAGACCCGACCAGCTTCAAGCCAAGGCAAATCAACGACCAGCACCGAGTAGACTTTGGGGTACGTGTGACCCCCTCGCAGTCCGGGACGCCACTCGATGGTGGACCAACTCAGCAGCAGAATGATTTCCAGAAGAGAAGAGAGAGCCAAAATGCAGGACAAAAGGTTTGTATTTTGTCTATACAGTATTCAATTCAATTCAATAAAACATTTATTTCCACTCTGTGGAGGAAGCATCCTAAGGAGCAGAAGCTTGTGGCGGATGTGCCCAACAATACAAGACAAAACAAGACAAATGACACTAATTATAGAATTTGAAATAATAGCAATTGTTAAATATATAACAGCTATAATATATACATGTATAACGGTATAATGTTATGTACGTATAGTTGGTTGACCGTACCGACGACCTGAGGTTGCTGTGCGGTCAAGACGCCCTTATACAATTGCCTACATGTCTAGATTTACTTTGGTAAAATTGTTGTAAGTCATTCTATTCACCACCAGTCCACCACCATCGCTATCCCCACCGGATTTACAATCATAATCACCAATGACGTCACCAAATCATCATCACCATCTCCGCTGTCACAGAGTTGTAATGTAGTCCAGTGCAAGTCAAATCACATGTCAAAACACATACCAATCACAAGTTGAATCACATGTCAGATCACAAGTTAAAGGTAGACGATAAACGACGATTTCCCTTTAAAAGAGATTCATTCGAAATTTATTGTAATACTTGGCTTTTCACGACATGAGAGTGAAATACATTTCAATAATCGAAAACAACTATCATCATCGTCATCACCATCAAAGTCATAACCATCCCATCTTTTACCAACACCCCCAATCAAATTAATTAGGAGCAAGGCAACGGCGAAATAAGTGAACCATACGGGTTTATGGAGCAACAGGCTGTCGTTCAGTCAGAACGCCGAAGACATCTCAGAGAGGTCTGCAGTAACCATCCAGAGCTCTCCCAAGGCAGTATCAACGCCATTACCCTGAGAAACTTATTTGTGCAACACAAGTCTAAGATCATCTTCTGCGCAGTCCCAAAGGTATGGTTGACTCATTCTTTAAACACAATTCTCTGAAGTCTAAACATAAAAAATCGACACTGATTGCTTTCCTCAGTTTTTATTTATAAGGAAATTAATAGTTTTACTGGTGCACGGTGGGGGGGGGGGGTGCTTGAGGGGGACTCAGTGGATTTTTAGCAAAAGCTGGATCACCATTGCGAGTTTTACCTTCCCATAAATTTGGAAAAGGGGAGGGGGGGGGGGCACAGACCTAGACCGAGGAAAGACGTGCCCAAATGTCTACTGGCAGTCATACCACTGTGCAAAATGTTGCAGCGGGCATGTTCACTACTAGATGAATGTCATTATTATTTCTCCTTTGAGCGTGGAGAGTAACATATGCTGTTTTGTTGTTGGTATTACAAAAATCTAGAACGGATGCAGTAACTGGAAGCGGGTTGCCATGGTTCTGGGTGGGGTTTACAACCAGACGGAAGACATCCCTTTAAGAGAAGCCCACATGGACACCGGCTTGAAAAGGCTCATCCAGCTCAGCCCGGCCGAACGGAATCGCACGTTGCAGACTTACACCAAGTTCATGTACGCCCGCCAGCCGTTTCTTCGCCTCCTATCTGCCTATCTGGATAAGTTCGAGGGGAAAGCGGCTTCCCGTCAGGGGCAGTACCTTCGGGACATCGCTAAGGGTATCATGAGGCGGTACCGCAAGAACGCCACGACAAGAGACCTTCAAACGGGTGAGAACATCACGTGGTATGAGTGGATGACCTATCTGACCAACCAAACAGAGAGGGCGGACTTCGATCCCCACTGGCTGGAGATTCACAAGCTGTGCTCGCCGTGTCAGATCAACTACGATTACATGGGGAAGCTCGAAACTGTTGATGACGATGCTAGATACATGCTGACGTCACTAGAGGTACAGGACAAAGTTAACTTCCCAACTGGCGATGAGCACCAGACTAACAGCTCCCAAGCCTATAGTACGTACTTCGGTCGGGTAACCATGGCCTCGCTTCAAAGGCTTTGGGAAGTGTACAAGTTAGATTTTGAGCTTTTTGGGTACGACAACCCGTCACCGTTTCTTTGATCATATGATGCAGATTTGTTAATGGTATACACAAGTTAATATTTTTCTTTTTTCTGTTGATGTAGTCCTTTAATATTCATGTACCATTCATATGTTGTATGCATAAACTCATAATGATTGTTATTTTAGGGGTTATTTCTCAGTCTTACACAAAAGTTTTTCAGTCGCACAAAAATTGTTTTTATCAGACGTTCACGTTTTCAGAGCCACGCTACGAACGTCTGATAAAAGCAACTTTTGTGCGACCTTGCCCCCCGGCCAATCGGAGCGGCCTATAGATATTGTGACGTCGTTTCGAGCAGAAATTTGGCTTTATCTGTCGATTGGTCAATTTGGTTGCCATGTTTTTGTAATACAACAACGGGTTACCGAAGAAGTGATAGAATTGTATGGTCAGAATCTCGAGGTCACGCAGTCTTGTTTTGCATAATTAATCGGTTGCTTTGCAAGTGGCTATTCCAAAGACTCATCATCAGTTTGTGCCTCATCATTGTGTATGCACTCGGTAGAGGGCATAGTGTTATGGGGAATAAGTGTTATCGTCTTTTGTTTGACGAGGTACATGTAGCTATCTAATACGAATGATGAATCGTAAGGAAAACTGTAGTTTTACAAAAGAGGATGAAGAAGAATTAGAACGACCTATTTAGTTCGTCCCTCTTTTTCATTCTTATCTTTGTATATTTTTTTGAGTCATCTTCCATCAGGTTGGTTTATGATATGACTTTACTACGTAGGTTTCGTTTGTTTCTTATTTGTGTGTCTGGCTAAAATTACGTTGTACATGTATACTAGAAGATGTTCAGGTTTTTCACCTACAAGCCTAGGCTTAAGTGCACAGCCTTGTACTCTTTAATATATATTTTTATTCCCTATATTAACCTTAATTTAATTAATAGTCTTCAAAGTACATTTATTATTTCTTACTGGTGGTACTTAGGCCTACCTTAATTATTTTCTTCACTTAAATATCACTGTCTTGTACTGATATAATCCCACCTTGTATTGGTTTATTGGAGAGTTCAGAATACATGTCTAGTAAATTGAAAAATTGAGTAGATAACTGTGTACTATTCCCGTAACATGTACACACACTGAATAAACAAGACTATCTGTTACACATAATTCATCGACGTGCCTGGGGCTATTTAATATTGGCTTGTTTTGAGTTTAACACTGATTCATTTTGTATTGACACAAACACTACTTTTTTTTGTCGGCCTACTGCGTAGCGGCCATCGGGGGGGGGGGGGTGGACACCATCTTCCAATGGGGCGCTCTTCAAAGTGGACAATATTGGATAATATGTGGCGCTCAGTGGTGTGGTGGGTAACAACTTTTTACGGGTGGAATGCCTTCACTACGCCGCTGGCTTTCTATTTCGACTTTGATAAAAACTGAGATGTAACACTGGTTTCTTTAGGCACAGGAGTAATGACTGCAGCTTTCCACTTGGTATGGAACACCCTCATGCAAACATGTCATAGATAGGTCGGTTAATGGCTCGGCCAGTTCAGAAAAAGAATGACTTGGAAAAAATGTGCAAGGGTCTTTAAAAGTGATTTTCCTCCCGATCGACTTTCGTTTTCAAGAGATATGTTGCCTCACCTTACGATTTTGTAAAGTGTTATCCTTATATCGATAGTACCCATAGATTCTTAGAAGCTCAGGATACCCTCAAAACTGACATTACTGGCTCCAGTCAGACTTATTTACAGCAGATACAAGTTTCAAGCCGGTGTGCCTTGTAGCCTAAACTGGCACTCATTCATATTGATAACTAATTAATAAGTACAGTAACAAGGAATGGTGCAATCAACCATGGCATCTGAACGCAGTCATCGTGATATAGACCTTATGCATTACGGCGGAGTCAGAGGGCAATAGTTTTATATAGAGCCTGGATATGCATAAGTAAACGTCTTGTGCATTCATTGTTACTAGATTTAAATCACAAAGAACACCCTCTGAGTCATTAATATCATACCATGCACTCATGAAAATTAACGTATCACAAAAGTTGCATGGACACATCATCATGCAATTTTAAAGAGCAGATCGTGGAGGAATAGTATGTTCTTCCAAAAAGATAATGAAAGATATAATGGAACCTGTAAGTAACCACTTTATGAAATTATGACTAGCCTGTTTTGTCCCGTCACTGCACTCGTTAGGTAGTAGCCGCGGGACTGCACGGCTTTATACCGCTCTGAATTCACTACTGACCTTTGCATCTTAAGAGTTTCTTTTCCTTTGTAGTCACGTGGGGTGAACATTTTTATCTAGGGAGATCATCCTTACTAGTTTGGCTTCTTGTATCAGTCGTCGCCGCACAAAAGGAACTATCGATCTTGGAGCTTCGGTGAGTTGCAGTTTTGGGCCTCTGAAAGTTCGTCGGGACAACGGGTAGCGAGGGTCAACAGATCGACTTAAATTTATAGCTATAATTGTAGAATATGAAGAAGGTATTTCCATATTTCTGTAACAAATAACGATCGAGATATTAGACTGACTATCTCTGAACATACGTAAGGCGTCTGTTGGTGATTCAAGTGCCCGGTACCCGTTGATGAATTCTTGAGAATGATGTTCTGATGATGTGAATACAAGGAACTGTCACCTGTGCTGACGACCATTTCATTTTTGAGCGATGGGAGTTTGTGGCCTACCTAACTCCAAACTGTTACCCCTGTTTTGTATCTTGTGCCTCATCGTCTGCATCCTCAAATGGACCGATATCAAAGGTAAGACTTGGAAGTATCAGTGAAAGAAATGTGTTTTGAAGTTTGGTTTGGTAATTGTGTGTGTTCGATGAAAGCTAGTCAAACTTCGGCAAGGACATCACAAGGGAAGGGGATTAAAGATGTGAACGGGTGCATGAATGTTATCGTCTGTAAGCAGAAGGGGACTGTGAATCGGAATGAGAACTTATAAAACTATAGGTTTCCGAACGCTTTAACCGCTTTGCAATCTAAATCTTTTTTATTTTTTTGGAATGGGCGGAAATCTTGGTTGGTAGGTGAATACATCCCACACTGTATGTCACAGGATTTGTCCACGTATTATTTCAGCCCCGACCATCTTCAAGCCCACGCAAATCAGCGGCCAGCAGCACCGAGTAAATGTGAGCCACTCGCAGGCCGGGACGTCACTCGATGGTGGGCCAACTCAGCAGCAGACCGAGTTCAGGAAGAACGGAGGAGAGAGCCAAAATGCACTACAAAAAGTTTGTATTTTGTCTTTGTGTTTGTCTATTTTGTTTGACCGACGACCCGGGGTGTGAATTTTGCGCAGTCACAAGTTGCCATAGTCTACGTAGTTTTGATTTGGTAAAGTGTTGCAAGTCCTTCAAATCATCCTAATCACCACCAGTCCACCGATCACCGATCACCAATAACATCACCACATCATTATCACCATCTCCGATGTCACAGAGTTGTAATCTAGTCCATGCAGTGCAAGTCAAATCATATGTGAAATCACATGTCAAGTCACATGTCAAATCACCAGTTAAAGGTAGAAGAGTAAACGATGAGAAAAGATTGCCTTTTGAAATTTATTTACGCTTTCACGACATATGAGAGTGAAAAAATTCAATCATCGAAAAACACCATCGTCATCACCATCACCAACATAGTCATAACCATCCCATCTTTCAACCATATCCCCAATCAAATTAATGAGGAGCAAGACAACGGCGAAATAAGTGCACCAGACGAGTTTATGGAGCAACAGGCTGTCGTTCAGTCAGAACGCCGAAGACATCTCAGAGAAGTCTGCAGTAACCATCCAGAGCTCTCCCAAGGAAGTATCAACGCCATCACTCTGAGACACATGTTTGTGGACGACAAGTATAAGATCCTCTTCTGCTCAGTCCCAAAGGTATGTTTGACTCATTCTTTAAACAAGGTTCCTGAAGTCTAAAGATAAAAAATATACACCAATTGCCTTCATTGGTTTCAATGTTAAAAGAGCTGCAAAACAATGGCGTAACTGGCGCGCGGGGGATTTGGGGTTGTTGAGGGGGACTCATGGATTTTAAACGAAAGCTCGATCACTTTTGCCTTCCTATAAATTCTGAGGGGGAGGGGCAGCACAAGGGGGGACAAACCTCGAGCGAGAGGAGGCGTGCTCCAATTCACTGCTGGCAAAAATTATCAAGGCAGAAAATACTCTCAGCTGAATGTCATTTCACAAGCAGGTAGGCCAATTCCTGGTTTGAGCGTGGAGAGTATAAAACATATGCTGTTTTGTTGTTCGTACATTTACAAAAATCTAGACTGCATGCAGTAACTGGAAGCGGGTTCTCATGGTTCTGGGAGGGGTTCGCAACCAGACGGCAGGCATCACACTAACGGAAGCCCACATGGAGAACAAGATGAAAAGGCTCATCCAGCTCAGCCCGGCCGCGCGGAAGTACAAACTGCAGACTTACACCAAGTTCATGTACGCCCGTCAACCGTTCCGCCGCATCCTATCTGCCTATCTGGATAAATTTGGGGGAAAAGCGGTGTATCGACAGGAACAGCACTTTCAGGACATCGCTAAGGGTATCATGAAGCGGTACCGCAAGAACGCCACGACAAGAGACCTTCAAACCGGTGAGAACATCACGTGGTATGAGTGGATGGCCTATCTGACCAACCAAACAGAGAGGGTGGGCTTCGATTCCCACTGGCTGGAGATTCACAAGGTGTGCTCGCCGTGTCAGGTCAACTACGATTACTTGGGGAAGCTCGAAACTGTTGATGACGATGCTAGATACATGCTGACGTCACTAGAGGTACAGGACAAAGCTAACTTCCCAACTGGCGATGAGCACCAGACTAACAGCTCCCAAGTCTATAATGCGTACTTTGGTCAGGTAACCAAAACCTCGCTGCAAAGGCTTTGGGAACTATACAAGTTAGATTTTGAGCTTTTTGGATACGACAAGCCGGACTTTTTGTGATGATGCTTATTGCATGAAATTTACTGCCATGCAACTTTTGTGCATGGTACACGAGTGATTATTTTTCTTTATTACGAGACATGTTTTTTTACGTATTGAAAATGCATCTCATCTGCTTTTTAAAGCAGTCCATTAATATACCATTCATGTCTTGTATGCAAATACTCATAATGATTGTTATTTTTAAGGGTTATGGTATTTCAGTCTTTAATGCCAAGTTTCAGTTAGTCCGAGAATCAGACGCTCACGTGTGCAGAGCCACACTACGAACGTCTGATATATTTGAACATGCAAATGTTATGCAACCACGCACGCCAGCCAATCGGAGTCGACTTTAAAAATTGTGACGTCATTTCGAGCAGAAATTCGGCCTAAGCTGTTGATTGGTCAATTGGTTGCCATGTTTTTGTCATACAACAACGGGTTACCGAAGACCGTGAGGTTGCTATCGTAAGCTTACGATGTAGTAATCGTCAGGAAATTGTGGTGTTACAGAAGAGGATGAGCTAGAAGTACGCGAACAACTATGTGTAACTATTCCTGTAACATGTACACACTGACACACACTGAATAAACAAGACAATCTGTTACAGTATTACTTCACCGGAATGCTTGTTAATATTTTTATATTGGTTCTTTTTGTCTTGATACAAACACTATCTTTTGCAAAATTGAATAGACATTCTGCGTAGCGGCCATATTAGAGGGCATCTTTTGTTATTTTAAATCAGTAACAACGAATGAACAAAGGTCCACCCATGCATATCTCAGCAAAACATGCATTTCCCTAAAAGATTGCTGCTATGAATAAGGTCTATCGTCTGACGTTTGATGAAAAAGTAAGCATAATCTTTTATACATGATTGAGTGGGGAGGGGGGAGGAGGGACATCATCTGACACCCGAGAGCGCTTTTTAAGGCAGATGGACCTGGAAACCAGCTGACACAAGATGGCGCTGTTTGTCATAAAGAGGCTTGTGATGAAGGGGACAAAACTATGGGCTCGTATCCAAGGGTGCACATTGTGGTTGAACTTGTAATACTGAAAGTGCAGTGATTAATAATAAACCAAACTCAAGTATGTAAGTGCACGTAATTTTTTACTTCTAACTTTCTACTTCGACTAGAACGAAATCTCAGCTTGGCATGTACAGTCGAACCCTGATTAGAAGAGCACTGTTAATACAAGATACTGCTACAAGCACTATTTTAGGTCCCGAGTCTTTGTTTTTCTTTGTTTTCCTTTGTTTTCCAATACTATTAATACAAGGTAACAGTTGTAACAATGTAATTTGCAAAGTCCCAAGAACTTTGTTGTAAAGGTGTTCAACTGCATCGTATTCAGTGCAACCTCACGAAACTGGTATATAAGAGCTTCTAATTAGAAATTATTTCTGATTTTCGAAAACATTTTAGTGAATTTTTCTGTGCTTAGTACATGTGCTCAATAGCTCAGTGAGGTTGGTCCCTATAGCTGACAGCAGGCAAGGGCGGATCCAAAACACAATTTTTTGGGGCCAACAAATTGTTTGGTCTCCCACAAAGTGGGTCCACAAAATGACGGCGTGGGGTTCAGGGCCCGCTTAAAGGCTTAAAGGGCCCGCTTCAAATGCTCTGTGGTGCGATCTGAGGCAATTTCTGACCACTTTGACCAATTGTTTTTGAGGAAAAGATGGTGGTGTACGCAGTGCCTGCCTTTATTGCAACGTCACTTGAACATAAAATTGGGTTCGGTTTTTTTTTGGGGGGGGGGCGTGGCCCCCGTTAGGCCCCACCCTGGATCCGCCCTTGACAGCACGACCGCTGAATTAATTAAGGTAAAGAGGACATCCAAGCAACTCGAAACGCAGAGCGATTTTGTTGGACCATTTCGTGGGCTCGATACGCACTCGGGTAGCCAAGACACTCTCTTCGAAGAAATTGGTGATTTCTGCTTCAGCATCTTCTTCGTTACCGATGAACTGCAAGAGAGAGATCAAAGAGGTGAGTAACATCTTCGTATCATTTTCAAGAGGGTGATGGCTGGAAACTCGGCACTGAATGAAAAGAGGGTCAGATTCTCGAAAGGCATGTAGCTTGGACACTTATACCATGGTAGACGAAGGATGTTCAGTTCAAGAGGTGGGGGAAACCCCAAATCCTGAATGATACTGCGGGGAAACCCACACAATCAGGTATGATAGGGACTGAAAACCCAATACACGGTATTCCTTTTCCACCTGAGTTTCTCAAGCGTTATTGATCTGTGTTTCATCACATCAAAAAAAACAATTAAACATTTCTACAATTAATCTTCCCTCATCAGCCCGTTACAATTATAAGTTACAATGTCTTGGACGTTTTGGGGAATGCGTGGTTCCATGTACATATACTAATAAACAATTATATTGGTTCAGGTAATCTTGTTCAACATTAGATTCGCTTACCTCGATACTCCCTTTGTCATTCTTCGCGTACAGTTGAGAGTAGGGAGCGCTCGGTTGCTGGTAGGCTACGCGGTACTGGGTCACACGAAAGTAGCTTTCGTTGGACCCTTGTGTGATGACGCCATAAACCTGGGTATCGCGAACGAGGTCTACCTCTATCCAGGCACCCGAGTCGTGGCTGGTGTAAACGGCGAGGGAAAAAAAAGGGCGAAAATGAACTTGGAAGAAGGTAATTATAGAGAAATAAAGTGTACTCGACCACTGCTGGTGTTGAACTGAATTGGTATGGGCTTCTCGGATATCGGACTATCTTCGAATGCCATTACACATGCAGGTGTGCAGTGTTGCAGGTTGTGTTGGAATCGTGCATCATGACTTCAGACCTCTGTCTGGATGAACATTACCAAGATGAACTCTGTATATTTCGGTATTTCTTGCGACCCTATCAACCATTAGTGATTCCACTATACCAAACGAAGAATCTGATGGTCCCACATCTACGCTTGTACGTAACTCCGTAATAATATTGCGTGGCTAATTCAGAATTTATGGGGAAGTTTTTTTGGAGCGTTTTGACGAGTCAAACTTAGATGAGAAGGGGCATGCAAAAATTTAAAGTCTGGAAGTCATACGGTAAGTGCATGGATTATACTCACTTGGTTGGTCGCCAGAAACCATCGTATCCAAGGCGCCCGTGTGAGGCAGCGAATGATCCCTGTGTAGTGGAGGCAGTGATACGCTCATCGGGGATGGTGCCGTCTCGAAGGCCCAAGGGCTCCAAACACCCCTGAGCTGCCGTCGAAGAAGAAACTGCCGTCGAAGTAGAAAATGCCGTCGAAGAAGAAACTGTCGTCGAAGAAGAACCTGCCGTCGAAGGAGAAACTGCCGTCGAAGAAGAAACTGCCGTCGATGAAGAAACTGCCGTCGAAGTAGAAACTGTCGTCGAAGAAGAACCTGCCGTCGAAGGAGAAAATGCCGTCGAAGAAGAAACTGTCGTCGAAGAAGAACCTGCCGTCGAAGTAGAAAATGCCGTTGAAGACGAAACTGCGTGGAAAAACGTCAAAATGATACTGACAAGCATTCACAGATGAATAATTGGTTTTAAAACCTCCATACATCAAGACAGCGTTTTAGCAAGGTGACCAAAATTAATAGGCCTTGCCTCGGCTACTGAGAAGAACAATTCAAATTCTGATCGGATTTGAACTTAAATCTCGTCTAGGCCTACCTGGACAATCCAAGAAATCTCGTATTTCCTCGGGATCCTCACTAAGGATGAACCCCTTCAAGTAGTAGGGCGCAACCTGTTGGCAGGACGGGTCACTAACAGTCATGCCTCCGAGACGTATGGCTGTGCACTCGCAGGGATCCTCATTGGGTAGGAACCAGCGTCGCTGGTTGCCTGTTCGTGCATCATACACGGATCCGATGAAGCAGACTTGGTATGATAACACAAACACTGCTACACCAAAAGAACAACAAAAATGTAGCACGTGTTTAATTCCTCGATGGAGATGACGATTTTCTCATTGAAAACAAAAAAGTTACAAGCAGAGGCCTGTTCGAACCCTACCCAATTCAACACAGCTCCATCAAGCCCATAGCACAACCTCGACCCAACCTACCCATATCAAACTTTTTCGTCTCCAAAAATCATAGGGAAAAGGTCTTATTTCTCATTCCCGTGATGCAATCGTTTCATGTTTTATTAATTAAGCATTAATTTTGAAATAAAAAAGTGCAACATTCAGAAAACAAATACACTGTAACTAAAACTGTTTAATATATTTTTCTTCTATAAAATTACATGTATATATTACATTAAAGCCTGACTATTTCTCAATCTACTCCTTTTTACCCTATTCGTATTTGGATCCTTAGATCCAGAAATACAATCAATTAAGCGAAAGGTTGTAAATGTTTCTTTGGCCACTCTCACCTGGACATGCTGAATCTGGGTTGAGCAATATGCATTGAAGTTGGTGACATCACATGTGAGAGTGGCTCAAGTAAAATGTACACCCTATCGCGTAACTGATTGTATTTCTGGATCCAAGTGGAATTGGGTATATAAAAAGGAGTGGATTGAGAAACAGTCAGGCTTTAATGTAATTTATAATTTCATTGAAGAAAAAACATTAAAAAGTTTTAATTATTTGTTTTCTGAATGTTGCCCTTTTTGGCACACTGTTATTACTGTATTTTTTAAACTCTCAATTGACCAAATATTTGTTTTAGCATCAGATTTGAGAAGGAATCATTTCATTATTCACTTTCTTCCATCGTGTAGGCCCGCTGTGGGACAGGGTACGGTTCGCTCGATCGATGTCTTTTTTTATCAACGGCAAAATAGTTTAGCTTCAACGTTTTAAGTGAACCAACTATAACGTGAAGTAATCCGTTATTGATTCGTTTTTCACTGAGGGGGGAAATCGGGATTCATATGGGAAAAAAACATATCAATATAAATTCTTGAAAGATTTTTAAGTCGTACACCGATAGCAGGGGAAGTTTGTGTAATCGCTGGCGCCCATTCGTCAATAATACTTATATTGTGGGCTTAACCTCAACCCTTTTTAATACACCGGTCCAATTCACAAGATCTGAACTCCCTTGAAAAAATATCATTACGATGTTTTTAATTTGTTTGATTTTTGTTACGGCATTTCACAATAAATGGATTGAGCAAGACGTCATTGAAATTAGGCTTGAATATAAATCGGTTTAACAAGAACAATGGCTTCGCTAAATTGTTCACACTGTGTTTTAAGAGTCTATCGATTTTCAGCTCGACGTATACTCAGAAGATATATCAAACGTCACGTACAATAACGAAAATTGTTTTCGTAATTGCGGACATGGAATCGCCTGCTACAATACAAAGCTAAATGCATATGAATTGTCGAGGCCATAAACATTATATAAATCCTCTTCATTTTCCATTACTGGCGTGCAATTTTTTATAAGGTAAACAGCTCTGCTCAAGATCTTATTTGAAACAGAATTAAGTATGGGACCGAAGACCTTTTTAAATTGAAGGCAGCAGACTGCAAATCCATTCATCAATATTTTGTAGACGATTCATTGCCAGGTTACAAGAAATGTAGCTTGCAAATTGCTGGAGTATACTACATCATTGTTTTATTTATTACGAATTTTATTACATCAGCAACACTGTCCACGTCTTTCGGACATGGCACATTGACACAATTTTTTTGACGATCGAATTGCTAATTAATTACCTTTAGTTTGAGCCATCAATTTTCTTTTATGTAATAAACAAAAAAGGCACATGATATATAGTAAGAGATATTATTTTCAAAATTTTAAATAATTCGTTCAGCTAGTATATCATTTTCTCGAGTAGTGCATTATGAAAACCAAAAACTTGGACGACAAAATAGTTATAATTATAGGGCATAATGTAACATCTTTTTTAAATACTTTTTTGGGTTAAAAAGGGCAACATTCGTTTGTAATTTATTTTAAAATAGGGGTAATTAAATGCAGTTGTTAGCCGAGCTTCAAATTAGGATGCGCTGGAATGTAGGCGTGCCTTGCACAAACATGCCCTTCAAACTATCCCACAATGCCGTGTAAAAGTATACCTTGACTGCACACTTCCGGTCTATTGCTAAGTGACGATTCTTATGATACTATTCTTATGAATACTATTCTAATATACAATATGTCGTTAAAACTTAAGTACATGCGCAAATTGCCATACGGTTTTGTTAAGATTGCACGTGCTTTTGCCTATATAGCTGAAAAGAGTATCATTTTCATGGGCGTCGCGAGGGGGGGGGGGCAAGGGGGGGGCAATTGCACAAAAAAAAAAAAAAAAAGGATGAAAAAGAAAAAACGAGAAAAAAAGGAAAGAAAAAGAGGCGCGAAGTCATAGTGGTGTAAATGTAATGGGTTGGGGGGGGGGGGGGGCAAAATGTCCCTGCCCCCCTCTATAACTGATAAATCGAGAATGTGTTGAGAAATACAGGCATTTTTTGGCAAAAATATGTTTTGCCCCCTCTAGAAAAAATCCTGGCGACGCCCATGATCATTTTGGCAATATACACGAAATAATATTCCTCCAGTATTTTGATTTTTTTAAATTTTTTTTTCTATTTCTCTGCAAGTTCAAAAAAGCCATGGTCGCATTTCTTTGCTGACGCGAATCAGGCCATGCAATTGTTTAAGGCAAATTTTCAATAGAATTTTAACACGCTAAAAACACATTGTTACCCATTTACCCCCCCCCAAGAAAAAAAAAACGATGCAGGAACTGACCAAAAAGGCAATGTACCTTTACACGGATCTTAAAGATGTCATGTGCCCCAGAAAAGAAAAAAAACATGCTTGCTATGCTAACAGTATGAATAAAGAAAAAAATGATGAAAATCAATTCGTTACCTTCAATACTCAGTGTTGAGAAAATCACAGTGACCAGTAGTGTACACTTCATACTCGGAGACATGATGAACACCTCCACGTCAAAGGGTGTACGATAAATTACAGGAAAACTGAAATCGCAAGAGGAGCTTTATATCGCTCACCAGCGGCATGCAACAATATGACTTTGTGTCACGCGTGGCCATATCCATCCAATCAGAATAAAGGCCAGAAAGTTCGAGCTGATGCGCCCTGTATTCTGATTGGCTAATATTACAACACGTGTGCGCGCTTTTAGTGACGAAATGATTTATTTAATCACCTTTCGTTCGCTGAACTGAGTAATAAGCTATCCACTCACATTTGTTTATGTTTCCTGTGCAAATCGATACTTCAAGTGCGGCAACAATAAAGCATTTTGCTCTCGATTCCGATTTACGTTGGCATGGAAACGTTTTCACCTTGGATCCATTCCACACGTCGCCGATTTCGTAATTTCAGTACAAAGGAATATTCTGCAATGTGATTGAAATGCGATAGGCCTTGGTTCTTGGTTAACTTGAATGTACTTTACAAAATTACTAACTATTTATTAGGTTAGGAAAAAAAATTGAATTGCCGATTTTGGAGTCATTAAAAAGTTGTAAGTTTCTTATCAAACTGAGAGTCATTACTGGTATTAAGGCTAGTGCGCACGCGCACTTTGGATTTCCTGTCCTTAGTAGAATGGATATGTTACGAGGAGGTACGTGGAGAAAAAACTCGAGAATTTCAATCTCGGATATACGAAAGCCCTGTAGTGCCATCAAGTATATATTTCGCCAAGTTCGTTTTTATGAGTTATATATTTGGCCAAGTTCGTTTTTATGAGTTATATATTTGGCCAAGTTCGTTTTTATGAGTTATATATTTCGCCAAGTTCGTTTTTATGAGTTATATATTTCGCCAAGTTCGTTTTTATGAGATACATTTTGTCGAAGTTCGTTTTTATGAGATACATTTTCTCGAAGTTCGTTTTCATGAGTTACATTTTCTCGCAGTTCGTTTTTATGAGTTACATTTTCTCGAAGTTCGTTTTAATGAGATACATTTTGTCGAAGTTCGTTTTTATGAGATATATTTTACGGAGTTACGGAGTTTTATGAAGTTACGGAGCCCCAAAGGGACATCCAAAATTATTTTCTTATCTCGTGCGCACGACATAATATCTGGTGCGCACGAGATAATTATCACAGGCGCACGACATATATGACGTGCGCACGACATAATATCTCGTGCGCACGAGATAATTATCACGTGCGCACGACATATATCTCGTGCGCACGAGATAATATCTCGTGCGCACGTCATAATATCTCGTGCGCACGAGATAATTATCACGTGCGCACGACATATATCTCGTGCGCACGAGATAATTATAAGTATTAACGGAGCTTGCTGCACGTGCAGCGGACGAGTTTGTTTGTAACGAAAGCAGCGTGTCTGGTACGGAGCCCCTAAAGGAACATCCAAAATTATGTTTTTATCTCGTGCGCACGACATACTATCTCGTGCGCACGACATATATCTCGTGCACACGACATGCGCAAGCTCCGTTAATGCTTATAATTATCTCGTGCGCACGAGATATATGTCGTGCGCACGAGATATATGTCGTGCGCACGAGATATACGTCGTGCGCACGTGATAATTATCTCGTGCGCACGAGATATTATGTCGTGCGCACGTGATATATGTCGTGCGCCAGTGATAATTATCTCGTGCGCACGAGATATTATGTCGTGCGCACGAGATAAAAAAATAATTTTGGATGTCCCTTTAGGGGCTCCGTAACTTCATAAAACTCCGTAATTCCGTAAAATATATCTCATAAAAACGAACTTGGCCACTATATAACTCATAAAAACGAACTTGGCGAAATATATAACTCATAAAAACGAACCTTGCGAAATATATAACTCATAAAAACGAACCTTGCGAAATATATAACTCATAAAAACGAACTTGGCCAAATATATAACTCATAAAAACGAACTTGGCCAAATATATAACTCATAAAAACGAACTTGGCGAAATATATAACTCATAAAAACGAACTTGGCGAAATATATAACTCATAAAAACGAACTTGGCGAAATATATAACTCATAAAAACGAACTTGGCGAAATATATAACTCATAAAAACGAACTTGGCGAAATATATAACTCATAAAAACGAACTTGGCGAAATATATACTTGATGGCACTACAGGGCTTTCGTACAGTGCCTGCCTTTATTGCGACGTCACTTAATAAAGGGTTCTTTTTCCGGTTTTTTTTTTGGGGGGGGGGGGGAATTGCCCCCGTTGGGGACCCCCGGATACGCCCTTGGTCCATTCCTACAATAATAGGCTTCAAGGTGAGCTGCGAGAGCTAGAGGTGACTTGATTTTTTGATTTTTTGCATAGCGCCCTCTTTTGACAGACAAAGAAGGTGAATCTGAGTTGATCAGAATCGGATGTTGATATTGTGGCCGGAATCATGGCGAAAATAAACTTCCAACCAATCATGCATCTTGTCTTGTTATAGATACTTTACTGGCGAAAAATGTTTCCTATGAAATGGTCGGCATCCAATAGTTTGTTAGTTTTTATGGGTTAATGGAGGCAGAATGAAATCAATTATCGACACTGAAGACTAATATTTAAATTCTACAAAGAATCATAAAAAGCATTTACAAATGACCAAATGAAAATTAAATATTTTAAAGTTTACACTGACATAGAGGCAGTAGGGTTTCAGTCCCTCTCTTAAAATTATGTTTTTAAAGATAGGCTATTATTGTAAAAACCTCACAGGACAACAGAGGGCGTAATTTGTTGTCCTATATAAAGCCCACATGAGACAGTCTGCTGAGAATGAGGATAATTTGAAAAAAATACAAATTCAGTTTTCTAATAAAGGACCTAGTACATGTATACTGTCCGTTAGTATTTTTCTTCAGTAAGGTACATATAGGCCAACGGCCCTTTTTGTTGTGTGCAAAAAATAACCAATTTTTAGACCCATTTAATTTCCCAGGCTACCTACTTACCGGTACTATTATTTTACTTCAAAACGTTTGATACTTTTTGTAAATTACTTGATTTGAAGCCAATGCCATACACTTATGAAAAATCTCTAATTATGTAATTTGTTGTCATATCATAAACCTTATTCATGAAAATGAGGATAATTTCAAACTCCTCCCAAAAAGGTTAAAAAGTACACTGAGACCGCTGAATATTAATTTGTAGTATGACTCATTTAAGAATCGATAAATCTTACATCTGTTTTTCTGCATTCGTCCGTTTATTATTTTCCCCACTTTTGATAGTCTTAACTGCCACATACCCATATAAATATGTAGTCGTATGTTTATTTGCCTTTTTTTCAATTGTTTAATTATTTATTCACTTTGCCAAATACTCATAAAAATAAATCACCGGCCCAATTTCGTCATCCTGGCAACGTAATTTGATTCCAGGAAAAAGCATAAACTGTTTTTTATTAACTGCGCGTCGAGTCATCAAAGTCAAAAGGCTCGCCATTATTTCCCAATTAGTTCGGAGTCGCCCAGAGATGATCTAGGTATATCCATCATAAATAATAAAAACTGACATGGGCAGTATCATGTGTATCATTCTTTACTGGCCTCATGCTGAAGTTGTTTACGGGTGACTCAATTTTTTATGCCCCTTTTTGCATTCAGGGTTGTTGTTTTCAGAGCGGGTAGCGGTGCATGACGGGTATTTTTCTCTGTTGGTACGGTACGTCTTCTCAAAAACACGCGTACAGGGCACACGCAGCGCATAAACACGTTAGCGCTATGGGGAGCTACAGTCGGGCCGTTCGGTGGTAAAATGGCCGACCACACCAACCCACTACTCCAGTGCTCGCTGAAAATTCGACGCGGCCGCAAGGTAAGACAGGTCCCGTATTTCCACTCCCCGGAATGTACCGCTATATTTTGAAAGTTCCTGCTCGTGGCATGGTGGTTTACTTATTGGCTTTTGCTCTGGTTGTGTGTTTTTTTCTTCTCGTAGTGGAAAACGCGATGGTGTGAATTGACGAAACTCAGCCCCGTGTCCGGTAAGTTACTGGAATTTTATGAATGAATCTGAAACCGTTGTAGTAAACATGTGATTCATTCTTGTAATTTTGACGGCATTATGTTGTTCAGAGAAACTAAATTAACTAATCAAAACAACATAAATAACACAACCTTTTTTCAAAAGAGTTAGTCACAGTTAAATATGATCTGTAACACATTCGAGCCAATATTTGAATTCAGTTTTTTAAGCACGTTGCACTGTCCATTTTTCTTCAGTAAGGTAGGCCCATAGGCTCTTTGTTGTGTGCAAAAATTAACCACTTTTGTAGACCCATTAATATCCTACTTATTTAATACTATTATTACTAATGTTAGTTTCCTTCAATTTTTTTGAAACTTTTGGAAATTGCTTGATTTGAAGTCAAAGCAGCTTTCTGAAAGCGAAAGAATATTTTTTTCTGAATTTTATTCTCATTTGTCTTCAGCACACTGCACTTGCCATGCAGTCAACCTAAATTAAGTTCAGACTTTTATATTCAACAAGGATACATGTAACTTATGTCTCATCATTACACATTTTTATTACAAACTATCACTAGACTTGCTGATAATTCAGCAAACATGTTTACTGGATTCTTTGAGAGTTGTGATTTTGATATTTAGTACTGTATTTTGTTAAAAGTAGCGCAGTCTTTTTATGGGATTTCCATTTTCTAAGTTGGTGGTAATTTCAATGTTCAGTAGAGGGGTTTGTGTTTTTGACTGAAGAAATCAGAAGAATTTGTGTCTGATTTCAACTTCATAGCATATAGGTGCCTATCTTTAATCTTAAATTCCACTCTTTACAAATTTGTAAACAGCTTGGATCTCAATTTAAGCTGAATCTTCCACTTTTGATTTGTTACTTAATTGTGAAAACACATGTATAATTTAAAGAACTTGTTTTGCCAAATTCTTAAACATCATCCATTCCAGTATTCTACAAGTAATGAATCACATGTTAAAGACTCAACTTCCCAGATGGGAGAGGACTCATTAACTTCATCATCAAGTTGTTTTTCTGTCAGGCGAAGGCTTAGACACACACTTCCCCTAGTGTGTGGTCTCACTGGTGTTTTGCACACTGTTAAGCCCAAATCCTCTCAGAAACGCGGCACAATGGAACCGTGATCTCCATTTGAATACAGACTAGGGGGTTATAACCAGTCTGGAATTTGTTGTTGGTAGTCGTCGCTGGTGCGACACACAGAACCGTTTTCTTTCCCAGCCCTCTTCTTGTTGTTTTTCCCCTGTCTCGTTTTTCTCCCGTCGTAATTTGCACTAAATGCCCGGCTATTAAGTCACGGCACTGTGAAGGACCTCGGACCGGGCGCATTATTGGCCGGGCGTCTTGGGGTTAACGTACGCGGTGGCCCTTAGAACCCATCGCCTGATGGCCATCTCAGGCAGACTTGTTTTTGTCAACCCTGTAAGCCGGCGAACAATTGAGACCCGTTTCCTCGCGCTGTCGGACAAAAGCCACCCCTGACTGGAGTGTTTGTGGGGACATATTTTTCTCTTTCGGGCACAACAAGCTTGCCCTAGACTTGCACAAGTCCTCTCCACTTGCAGAGATCCTGGAACTAGATAATCTAATCGACGAGGAAGTGTTTTCTTCCTCGGTGGATTAATGGGGTGAGCTCGGGGGAATGTTAGGTAAAGAACTGGGGTCAGTTGATTTAATTACAAATGACAAAAACACACACAGGTATATTAAGCTATGGAGCAAGCAGGAAAAAGGAAACACTGCAGTGTGGTAGTGTGGCAGTATATTCACATTATTTGTTTTCTTAGGTGATTAAATACCAAATATTAATATTTAGTTAAGAAGTGTGTTCATGTATTTTTGGATTGTAACAAAAAATGACATAGAATAATGTTGTACATTGGACAAGTCAGAATGTGTTTGTGGAATTTGTTTTTTGTCCCTGTTGGCATGTGTCACATTAAAAAAAAAATAATATACTTATCACTGCAATCAGCCAGAAGATGATGTTCATTTCATTGCAGTATAAAAGCTTTTATTAATTAATAAAATGTGACTTTTTACTTGAGTCTTGTTCTATTAGTTCAGGTTTTATTCATTGGTTTATGAGTACTGTATTGGAATCACAATCTACATGTATACAGATTGTAATTACTTCTATTCCAGACAAGTCTTATTTGCGTAGTCTTATTTACATGCGTAGATTACATACGTACATTATAAAGACTACTTACATTAGAACAGTTATCAGGAAATTGCCTCTGGATGACAAACAAAGTCGTAACATTTTACTACGTCCCACAGAGTAGGAGTAAACAGCTTGTATGATTGTTTTCAACCCACGCCTTTTAGTTAATGACAATTTTTCACACGTGCACTGTACCTGCACTTTACAAACGTATGCAAATTTACCCTTTTTTTTAACGAACTGACCTATGTTGAAGTTATTTGACATTCAACGTTTTTTTTTTTTCAGAAGTCATCAGATAGGCCTACTTTAGAAAATTTACAAGTTTGATTTTTCAGGATGAAGTTATGACACTGTGGATGAAGTGAATCCTAAAATTCAACATATAATTGCCAACTTGTGCAAATATAGATGTTTTGCAAGGCAGAGCCTAGTGCGGCCCCGTGAGAGTTTAGGTTTACAAAATGTGTACTTTCTCATTGAAGTTGTTTTTCAGTACAAGTCTTATTTATTTGTTTGTTTTTCTTCAATGTCATTGTGGGAAGATGTGAAAATAGTTTTCCCATGCTGGGGAGGTCCACGGTGTTTTTCTGGGCGACCCGCTCATTAAACAACAAATTTAAGTTTCATTTTGGCTCAGAGATATCGTTGACATTGAGAATTTTTTTTTTGTATTATTATTATTTTTTGTGGTGAAGGCCCTTTGTATTGCACCTTGATTATGATGAATCATGCTGGTCAACATTTTCTCTTTCACAAAAACAGGAGAAAATTTAAGCCAGTGTGGTGTACGTTCAGCATATTGTTTGAGTTCTAGATTGTTGTTTTTCTTGGAGAGAAACAACATTGTTTCTTTTATAGTTATTTTTGTGTAGGTGGAATTGTGGTTTGCAGGACAAATTTTCTTGAAAGAATGCAACGTTTACTTTACATGTAAATCATTCCTTCCTTTGTGGACAATGGTTTAGCCAGAATATGCAGTTTGTTTCTCAAATGTTGGTGACTACTAGAAAATGAAAACAATTGTGCCTTGTGTGCTATACACTATAGGATTGGTATAGTGTTCTCCCACAAACATGAACCATTCCTTTCCTTTTTGTAACTGTATGCAGAATTCAGACACTGTGGCAAAGAATTGAACCCGCTTCCATAGATTTGCATTCCGGTATTAAATGTCTTCCGAACTGCAAGAGTAAATAATCCAGTTTAGGCTTACTTCTGAGGAAGTGTCTGAAAACATGTAAAAACGATCCGCAGTAACTCGGGCTGTCGGTCAGTATCAATTACTTTTCAGCGGTTGCAAAAACCAAAACAAATTGGTGGGAAGTATTTCTTGTGCAATGTCAGTGCACCAGGGCTGCCTGAAATAGGCCGGTATAGAAAAACATTTTGAAATCTTCTGTTCTGAAGGAGGAATTTTTTAGAAACTGTGTTTATTTAGGAGTGAGTGCTAGTGGTCAGGTATTTTTTGTCAGGAAGTTTGATTGAAATGGAATCATATGTGTATCTCTGGCCAATAGACCATTATCATGTTGCGGCCATTTTGATTTTTTTCCCCATTCAAATCAACGTAACCAAAGCGAGGCTGGAAGGAAAAATAGTCTGGTTCCTTTTTGCACAAAAAATTATCATTCAGTACTGTTATTGGATACAGGGCGCATGACTGAAATGGTGGCAGCAAGATAAAGGTCTATACATCATAGTATTGAGCCAGAAGGCTGCATCTTGATTAGTGAGTTGACTGTAACTTTAGAATAGCAAGGTAGTGCTGTAGGTAGTTTCTGTAGGTAATTTTTGTAAACTCTCCTTGATGAAAATATGATTGTGCAGGGTTGAGGAATGTTCCAACAAAATTTACTTAGTAAAAGAGGGCCCCTTAATAGTGTAAGTGCAAAGAAGGACCAGTTGGCTCTAGCTACACATTGGAAGATTTTGGAGGATTCAGTATTGCTTCTTGGAAAAATGCTTACAGTAGGGTTAACTTGGCATCAACTGAGCCCCCTTGTTTTTCTCTGGAGGTATCTAGACACTCTCCTATTGATTGCCAGCTGTCCCTCCGTTGTAAACAGGTTTTTTTGCAAGGTGGCTTTACAAGGACATGCACACGGATGGGCCCCAGAGTCAATAGGATGTCAATATGTGCCTGGTTCCTCCTTGCAAAAACAGGGCTTTTGCAAAATCCTGGCTTTATATTGAGCTTTGGCTTCATCTCTGTCTCCAGATGAAATCACTGCCCAAAATAAACCTGGCCTTGCACAAGTCATACTGCAAGATTTGATGTTCCTTAAGTGAAAACTGCAACTCTGTTGAGCAGAAGTCAATCTAACCAGCGGCCTGAAAAATCATAAAGCTGGAGCCTGAAGCTGAAGGAAAGCCCAGGTTTCGTAAACCACCCAGGCTTGTTGACAACACTGATTGAAGGGGCGGGGAGGACTTCTTGATATTTCATGCTTAGCTGAGCTGCTATGCATCAAAATACTGCTCTGCACAAATTTGCTGGGGACCAGGCACAATTTATGGATATGATGCAGTACATTTTGGCTGGTAACTGATATCTGCTTAGCATTTAAATTAACTTCTCATCGTTAACAGTATGTGTGCATTGTGAACATTCAACAAAACACATTGGGAGCTTTTCCCCTTAACGACAAATGCACACACAGCCAGAATAAGACGATTCAGACACACAGCACAAGTCTATTCAGCACGACCACAAAACACCGAGACTGCATTCTGTGAAAAAAAAACATGAATCGCAAGATGTGAATAATAGGGTGAAGTGCCGCGTGTCTACATCGTTCATGTTCACCGTCCGACTATATGGG